ACATTGGACGTTTTGTCAACATGATACTAGATTCCCTTTCACAGATTTCAGAGTATAGTACCTAACTTTAGATTGGCCCCGCCTTTGAAAAATGAGCACCAATCATGTTAGGCAGTCCGAATGACCGAAGTAACAATCATGTACCCATCATTTCAAACTGTACATTGGACAATTTTTTACCTATGATTATCTTAAATAAATGAAAGTGAATTTGGATGGATGTTTTTGTATGACATACAATGATAGAAGAGCAACAGTTTGTATCGCTTAACTCGGTTTGTTTACATTTGTTACATTGGTCGATTTGAAAAGTGACGCGAGACTTCTGCAGTACGATCATGAGAAAAAGCGAAACGACAGAAGAAAATGAAAACAATGCCTACGCATTCCAAGTTCATCTCGGCAGGCGCGACTGTGTGAGATACAAACAAAGCAGGCAACATGAAAAAGAAGCTGTTGGGCTCACTCACCAACACACTCAAATAAGCAATAAAAGGCAACTGCTTCAAAACGAGCACAGATGAGTGCCGTGATTGTCGGGAATGACCAGATCGGTGATGGATCACAACAGAAGACGACATTCATCAGTTTCTTTTTACTTCTTTCGTCAACTTGATGGATGGTCATGGAGAGAGCTTCGACGAGCACATTGATAGGAATGTACAAAGCGTTACTACCATCAGCTGTTTTAAGATCGTGATTGTGATAGCTCGCAACTCTGCTCTACTGTTGGTTCTGCTTGGGATTAGTAAGGTAGGCACAGTGAATTAAGAAAAAAAAGCCGGAAATGCAACGCGTAGAACTAACAATATTGTGCAATTTATTCTAATAATTCTAACAGGCTATTACAATAATTTTAGCGCATTGCTGATTTGTGGAGTAGTGTTAAGCTTAAATAAGTCTTGTACAGTGTTTAGTTCATTTTACTTATTGAGTTTGAATGGGGGTACAATTCGCTTTATGCACTACTAATCAACTATATATTCAGCTTGGTGTTATTCAACTTCGTACACCTTAAATCAACTAATAATCAGCTTCTGTTCTTACTGTTCAGCTTGAATTGTTACTTAGGTAACTCCAGGAAAGTACTGAATAACTTAAGAAATGTTCGGAATCACTTCAGAAAGTACTAAAACACTTTAGAAAAGATTTCAATCATTTCAGAAAACATTGCTCAACAAACAATTTGTGCGGTATAGGGCTGAATAAGCCATTTTTTTGCACGAATAAGCTCTTATTATGCTTCCAATGTTTGTTGGGTGATTCACTTTAGAAGAGGAAAGAGGAATCAATTCAGCAAAACTTAGAATTACTTCTGAGAGTACTAAATCTCTTTAGACATGTTCGGAGTCACTTCGGAAAGTACTGAACTAGTTCGGAAAAGATTGAAATTATTTCAGAATTTTCCGAAGAGTTTGAAATCACTTCCGCAAGTAGTGATTCACTTTGAATAGAAATGAATCACTTAAGAATAGTTTGGAATCACTTCAGAAAAGTTCTGAATCATTTAGAAAAGTACTAAATTACTTTAGACATTTTGGAATCACTTTGGAAAATATTGAATTATTCCAAAAATGTTTTTTATCACTTTCGCAAGGACTGCATCACTTTGGAAAGCACTGAATAATTCAAGAAGAGTTCACAATTACTTAAAAAAGAACTGAATAACTTCAGAAAAGTTCGGAATCACTTCGGAGGGTAATGGATAATTTCAAAAAAATTAGGCTTAATTTTTTCTGTCATTGATTTTTTCATCGCGTTTTAGCCCGAAACAATGTGCCACTCGATAACCTAGTTCTAGAAAAGAACTTTAATGCAAACCAAGTGCAAGTGATCGGTTAAAAAGCATTTCAAAGTGTTTTATTATCAGCATCCTTTTCGTCAGAACTGTTATTAGGCGGTTGGCAAGCTGATTCTGATTGGATTGGAGGTGGATTGTGCAAGAGTTTCTATGAAGGAGATGCAACAGTCTTCCAAGTTTTTGATTCACGGGCAAGCCATCGTTTCTTTGGTGAGTTAGTTCCTGTTTATATATTCACCTGTTTCGGTTTCTACAACTTTGTCTTACACATTATTTCGAATAGCCGCTTTCGTGTTGTATATTGATGAGAAATCAAATGTCGAGTGCGCTATTGTCAAAGGTTGGGAACGAGCGGGTACGGCCAAGTTCCAACAAAGATTTGCCAATTGGGTTGTTTAACGGTATGTGGGTTTTCATGCCATATGATTCAGATTAGCACAAAAAATAAAAAATCATAAACATTTCTATTTTTGTTATTGTATAAACGTCAAAAACGGTGTTTTCTTCTTTTGAGTGCCTGGTCAATATTCAAGACTCCATTCTATCGAAAAACTACACTGGTCACCCAACCTCTTAAATAGCGACAACCTACACCCAACACCAACTATAGAGTCTGTGTTTGTTTACCAGTTTTTTGCTTGTTTCTGTTTGTTTATGCTTCTCGGTTTTCATTCGTCTAGTTGGTAAAAGCTAAAACGGTAGAAAAATGCGTTGCGCGGTGTCCGGATGCCCCGTGAACTCATTAAATTCATTGAATGTTCACCTTTTCGAGTTCCCCAAACAAGAAGACCTGAAAGAATTGTGGTTCCAGCGTGTCAACATCATGAAGTCAGATGCAGTTCTTGGCAAAAGGAAGCGCTTATTCATTTGTCAGCGGCATTTCAATGTAAGTGAATATAATTGATTTAAATGCGAGTGCAAATAAATGTATTTTCTATGCATTTATTTACCATTTCAGCCTTCTGACTACAAAATAGTACCAGTAAAATCACCTAAGTTCAATGTGCGGTACCAGTTGGACAAAAATATTGTTCCTCATAAGAATCTTCCGTTTGTACAAGGTAAAAAATGTAATTAAATAACGTATTGTTAGTTTTCAAAGATTTTCTGTTTCAGATGCTGAAAGGTACAGCTTTTTGATTCCAAAATCAGACCCATTGGCTCGTCCTTTGGAAATCAAGCACAGCGACTCTCATCGAGTGAACATTGAACCCGAGAAAAGCAAGCAGTGTTCTCCAAAGAAATTTATCCAAACCGTGGATCAAAATACTCCGACTGGTTCTTTCAGCACTCCTGCATCAGAAAGTTCAGGTACTTAGCTACTAGGGCATTGTATAAGTTTATGAGCACCAGTTGGCAGAGGAAAGATTCCCTTACTTGATCGTGGTGTTAGTTTGCATGGGTGAGCTAGTAGTTAAGACAAATCGTCGATTGAAGTGATTGTTTGCAAAATCAAATACGTCGATTTGAAAAGTGACGCTTGTCTAATAATTTATTGCTGACATACTACGATCAATCCAATAGTTCGATGGTTACTACACCAACATCAATATATCATATAGTTAGTTACTAGGGCATTACGGGACATTGATTGGTTTTGATCGGAGCAGGTAAACAGGTGATTGAACTTGTTGATTAAAAATGCATATAATAGCTAGCTATTTCTTGTCTTTTTTTTGTTTCTTAATTTGAAAGGTTTTCAGCCTAAAGGCTGGTTTGTCTCTGATAGTTTTACTTGTTAGCAAGGAATAGTAATTCATCATTCTGGTTCTAAAATTTCCAAGCAATAACACATTTTTATATTTCCATACACTTTCAGACATTATATCATCAGCAGGCAGCGAGTACTTTCCCAGCAATCGGAGCGAGAGAGAGTTTGCACATGAACAATGCCTAACGGAGGATAAATTAAAGAATTTAAATTTTGTGTACAATTTAATGAAAGATAAAAGTATGCAATATTTAGGAATCCCATCAAATGGAACCCATATATTGCAATCTTTACAAGAAACCACTAATGTTAGTGAGAGGGATATAATGATTGTACTAAGGAAAATAAGATTAAATGAAACATTTGAATTGTTATCGGACTGTTTTGGTCTATCTCGTTCGCGAATTTCACAAATATTCGATGAAAATGTGTCAAAAATAGCTGGAGAATTTAAAGAGCTGATTTTTTGGCCTGATGCAAAAGCAATTAAAAAATTCTTGCCAGTCGCATTCCTGACAGAATATAGTGCAGTTCAAAGTATAATTGACTGTTTTGAAACACAAATTCAGAAACCTACCGACCCAGTTGTGCAGTCAATTACATATTCACAGTATAAATCGTGTAATACAATAAAGTACTTGGTATCATGTACCCCATGTGGTCACATCAACTTTATATCAAAAGGATTTCCAGGACGTGCGAGTGACCAAAAAATTGTTCGGAATTCTGGATTTTTGAATAATATTCATCAAAATGTAGGAGTTTTGGCCGATCGCGGCTTCAAAAATATTGCTGTAGAAGTTGCTCAAAAGGGTGGATTTTTGATACGTCCACCAAGTGTTACAAAAGATGAAGCCTTATCCAAAGAGGATGCTTTGAAAGCAAAAGAGATAGCTTGTGTCAGGATACACGTGGAACGGCTTATTCGAAGGTTCAGGGAGTTCAGGATGTGCGCACCTCATGCGGAACTGCCGTCATACTTTTTACACAACCTAGATTTTATCGTTATAATTGTAGCTGGATTAGTGAACTTGCAAGGGTCACTTATTAAGTAAGTTCAATGTACGTAAAATCTTAAAGCAATTGTTGGTTAATGTAGAACAAATAAATAAAAATGTTGTTAAGTTTTTAATTTGGTTTTGATTGTCCGCTTCCTACAAGAAACAACACAACTACTTCCAAACCATGGCCCAGAAGGAGGAAGGAAGATAGCTAGGTAGGAACAGACAAAAAGACAAAGAGAGAAGCTTTCTGGAAGAACCTAAATATTTAGGTTAAACATGGGGGTCAAATAAATGTCCCAGGCTGAACACTGAGTGGTTAAAACAAATGGAACAAACGATTATCTTCAGCTTTTTTATCTCATTCAGTCTGAAGCTGACCAAATCACTCATATCAATACCAACCCCTCCTTCCCTTCCCCCAGTAGCCATTAGAGTAAGCCAAAGTCCGGTCGGTTAAGGGTTAGATAATTTATTTGGGATACATGTTAGAATGCTTTAATCTAACTGACAACAAATTAAAACTGAATCACTTAGGTTTTCAAAAAGATGTAAACAGTTTGTTAAAAATATTAGTCTTCCAAAACTTGTAGCTGTCTGTCATTTTCTGTTGTATATAATCGACATCTAGATTTATTTCATAGAACTCTACAAATTTGAGAGGGTTTCGACTTTTTTCAAATTCCGGTAGAACTAATACTAAAACACCTTTTTTGCGGTTTGACATAATCATCTGAAGATGGATTTGAGATTTTACTTTCTCTTGTAAATTTCCGTTCACATCAACATAATATTTAACATTATCGCTTTTCGATGGACACTTGATTTCAAAAACTGTTGAACTGTTGATCGCATCTGGGGATGCACCAAATACGGGATAATCAGGACTCAGAAATAGTCCGCATCTGCGAACGTTTTGATATCGCATCCTAATTGCTTTTACTGCTTTGTCCTCTAATCGTAACCCTCGTTTCATCGCCTCACTAGTAAAACTTGTTTGTCCTAGCACGGACCTTACGAGAGAACCATCGCCAGTTTTACACCTCGACAGCTCAAAAATTTTTGAAGCTGTTATTCGCCCATATTTTAGCAGCTTCCACTGGGAACAATCTTGCCCTGTAGTGATAGTTTCAATTTTTTTACATACACTATCCATCATCGTACGTTTGCAGAACTGAATAAAACGTTTCGAGCTCTGTTTTGCTTCGGAACTTTCTTTGAAGTCTATCAAAAGACAATGCAAAGCATATCCTTCTACCTTCGGAAACGCTTGATGATACTTCAATGCACTAATAGTAGCACTTGACGGACATTTGCTAAGCAATGTTTGAAGAAACCTTCCACTTCCATTAATTACTTCATTCGAATTGGAAACTCCGGAATCACGATGCTTGGCAAGATCAAACTTGTCTATGTTTTCTTCTACTTTCGACAGATTCGGCACTTTCCAGAGACATATTGAATCAGTAGGAGAAGGCTGGCTGTATTTTTCATACAGATAGAATAAAAACGCTACGGCATGTTTACAACCCCCTGCGGCTGCCTTACACCCCTGTGCGTCACTTTCACAAAAGATATCAACAACTTTTTCATCGGCTGTATTTATTATCGCAACCACGGAATACTGCCTAGCAGTAATCTTGTGCTCCGGCACAATTTTCGCTTTTACCGTGCATAGATTCCCGTCAATTTTTAACTGAACCCGTCCAATAGAAGACTTCAAATAATCGGGGTTGGATGACCTGAAAACAAACCAATAAATTTGCTGAACGAGATGATATGAAACTCGGCTTACCTTTCGATTTTTCCTCGTTTATTAGCGTCACGGAATTTTTCATTAGTGGTCAGAAAATATTGCACCATGAAGAAATCCACCTTCGGGAGCGTGTTTGCATCCGCTTTGGAAAATCCTGGCTCCATTTTTAGGATTAAACACTGATTAAAACTCTTGAAACTTTTATATCAAAAAAGAATGAAGATGAAGACAGCTGATGTTGTTGTTACGAGCTTGGCGAAAAAAATTTACATTTGACGTCTCGTATGTGGTAAAGTGGTGTCCCTACTGAAATTTTGATCTGCTATCTAACGTGTATTGTGCCCTGTTTTACACCGTAAGTCGCAAGCGTCATGATATAAAAGCTAATGTCATTTAATGAACGTTTTAGAAAAAGGTTTTTGCGATTTCTTAGCTGTAGCTTATTTAAATGTAAAAAATAAAGTATTAACGTGTTTCTAAGAGTCTTCCACATAGTTAAACGTGTTAAAAGCTGAAATTGTTGATGCATTAAACAACCCAATTGGTTCATTCGGTAAGAGAGTCATCCTAGTGCTTTTTTTTCTGGTTTTAGACGTTTGATGTTTTGTACCTTAAAGTTCCATTTTTGTGATCATGATTTGCCTGAAGAATTTTTGAACTAGTTTGGAAATAACCCGGAAAAGTCTTGGAAGTGCCTTCGGTTCAACAGTAGTGCAATAGGACATTAAGAGTACAACATTAATTAAACTGGCTGAGATCTTCCCTTTATTTTCATAGTTCTTAAATTTATAATATATTTTCGATCTATTACTCTCTACTGAAATCTAGCTCTAGAACTAACTAGAACTTTTCCTGTAGATTGATTAGATACCCATTTTTTCAGTTTTTACGCAAGGGAAGATAGAAATAGGGTTCCTTCCTCCTTTTCCATTCTCCTACGGTATTTTATTCAAATTTTCTCTTTTCAGAAAGCGAGTAATGGCGCTATAACCATAAGCCATATAGAGCTAAGACAAGAGTTAGTGCTCATGCCCCAACTACTCGAGGAAAATGGAGCATCATTTAACTTTTTTAGATTAGATGCTCCCAACGACCAATCATTTATAGATAACAATACAACGGAACGTACGGTACGAGATGTCCACGTTTCATCCATTTATTGGATTCTGAAGCATCGTGTTTAAATTTTTGATTTAAACAGGCCCGATGTTTTTGAATCATCTTGCCCCTTAAATGCTGCACAGTAGGCCTGGCCGTTTTGATATATTTTGCGCATCTCTGATGTACAAAATATACCAAATAGACAAGAAAATGGATGGATTATTATTATTATTTAGCTTTATTAAGGAGGCTAAAAAAAAATGGATGGCGGTATATCTGTCATTTTCCAGGATGCTTTCATGAACCTGCTGTGTTGGTGTTAGATTAGATGTGATTAGACTTCTGGGTGGGGATGGGGGGGTACTGAATCACTCCATACAATTTCGGTATTACTGAGGAAAATACTCAATCAGTTTATAAAAGTTTTTTTTAAATCACTTCTGCAAGTACTGAACTCCTGCTCATCGCAAGTCGGCCCCATTTGCATTTTTGGCAAAACTGATTTTTTTTTCAATGAATATGGTAGCTAATCACGCATACATTCATAATACTGGATCAACTCAACAACTTTGTTCTGGAAAAGTTTGAAAAAATTACCAAACGGGTTGTCCCATTGCTTAAGAAGCAATGGTGAGAAGCAAACTTTAAACGCGTTTTTCTTGGCTTGCAGATTTGTGCTATGAGACGGACTTACCATGAGCGGCAGTGAATCACTTCAGAAATTACTGTATCATTTCAGAAAAATTTAGAATCATTTAAGAAAATCCTTGATCTCTTCAGAAAAAAATCGGAAACACTTCGGAAAGTGCTAAATTGCTTCATACAAGTTTGGAATCACTTAAAAAAGTACTTAATCACTTCAGAAAAGTTCGGAATTACTTCGGAAAGCACTGAATTGCTTTAGAAATTTTCTAATTACTTTAGAAAGTATTACATCATTCCAAAAACATGTGTTATCACTTCCGCTAGTACTGCATTATTTCGGAAAGAACTGAATCACTTCGGAAAATACTGAATCACTTCAGAAAAGTATTAATCATTTCAGAAAGTTCGGAATCAATTAACATGCACACTAGCACTACGTAGTGACAGAAATCCGAACCAATGTCCACCCTCCGAATACCTTTGCTTTTATGAACTTCTTCGGTGAAGACTAGAACTTCCTAGGTGGTCGGGATTACGAGATAAAACAAATCCAAAAATGCTAAATGTGTCATGTACACTAGCGCCATGCAGCGTCTGAATCCCGAACTAAACTGCCTCCCTTTCGGACGCCCTTGGTCTTCCGAACAACATAGCAACTTCACTCATTGTAATCTATCTTGAGCAGTTGGTGGTCATCATTGAAATAAATATCCTGAGGATTATTTCCACATCTCGGCCAACGAATTTCCCGGATCGAAGTAGGCCACGCTGTGAAAATGACGTGTTTTTATTTTGCTGCGTCGTTTTCGTTCTAGTGAAAATGTTATAAATTTACAATTTCATTTTTAAAAAGTGTTAATTTGAAACTACAGAAGTCATGTTGAAAAGTGCATTAAGTGAAAATTTTCAAATTCCTATGCGTTGCATGTGGTGTCGGCTGTTCTAACCTACGCGTAGCTACGCTCAGCTAAGTTTATTTACCTTTTCGTTCCTCTGTCCTCGATAGGAAATATCCATCTCATTCAAGACGATCATTTTAAAACTTACTAAATACGCGTCAATCAAGTATTGCACTACTGCTTGATTGAACGTTTCAGTACATTATCAATGGTGTATACTTGCATCGATAATGTATTGGAGCGGGGCTTAACATGTGTGAAAGTAGCTTCGGAATGCTTGCGTTCTTGAAATGGGCTATTTAAGCTGTGGTAGAGCTGTCACCTTCTAACTCCCGGGTTCAAGCTTCTTTGCATTCATAATAAATGATTGCAGGCAGATTGTATCCATAATACCACAGACAGTGGGAGTTAGGCCAATGGCGAATCTTCATTCTAATCTACGATTCAACATACTATTAATAATCTTTTACACATCAGAATGAATTGTGCATATTTTTAGGATCAACAAACATGTTCAGGCGCAAAGGAGCAACAGGATCGAGCTGATAACGTTTCTTAATTCCAAAATCTGAAGACTGAATAACATGTTTAGGTAATGGGCAGCAACAACGGACAGATAAGCTACTTACAGCTTCATTTATTAAATGCTTGATTTAACGATTGCCAGCAACGCCATTTGGGCGTATCCTATGGCTTACTCTCCCTACTAACAAAAATCCACCCTTCCCGTGACACTAATGAGGGGTCGTAGAGTTCTCTGCATCTCTCTTAGGTAAGTGTCGGACTAACATTCCCTCCTTTCCCCAACAGATGCAAGGACGTGGCCAGGACAGCTCTGGTCTGTTGGAGGGAGACACACCCTTTATCTAAGAGGTAGTAATTAATCACAAATTACTATCTAACAGCAACGGATAAAGGTAGGTCTCCTTCTTAACAACAGTTTGGAGCTCGTACCACCTACGACATTGTGCAACATGGCTTATGCTATGCTATGCTATTCCGGCCAACCAATTTCCCAAATATCAAATTTGCAATACTACTTGGGTTCATTCCATTTGCCAATAATTAATTTGCAGAATTCATCTTCTTGTTCTGATTTCCAATTTTGGCTTACTAAAAACAAACGAGATGACTACAAAATGGTGAGTTGACAACCTGAAAGGAGAGTGATTCCTAGCTCCGGTCCTCACAAGTTCCTACACACTTAGAAAAAATCATGTAAATTTAGGTGCTCTGAGACGGACATATACGAGCGTCAAACAGACACGAAATACGGGTGAACTTCGATATAACACACCCTCGATATAACGTACCCTCGATATAGCGTCACTCCAGAGACCTCGCAATGGGGGGGGGGGAGGCATCATCCCAGGTGCAGGTATTGAAAGTCTGCAGGGGCTGTGCACTAATTGCGGAAGACATTTTAGTGATTTTCCAGCTCCAACTAATTTAAAATTAATGCACACTCATAACCAAAACTATGAGAGTTTATAGAATGGAACACTGTCAAATGTCTATTGACTGAATGTGTATTCCATCGAACTAGCGACAAATTAAAGCCACTTAGACATATTAGTGACCAAGCAGAGAATATCAGCAGAGCCGCTGTGATATTCATGTCAGTGATATTTAGTTTGACACTGGCAAACTGATTTTCACTTCAAGAGACTCATAAAATTCAGCATTTTGATGGAATTGAATTTATATTAACGTTTTCAAACACTAGTTTATAGGGGACGGAATAAGTTATTAAGCTTTCCACACTCGGTAATGGCGGCCTTTGTGTGCATCTGCCATTATCTGTTCATTTAAATAAAATGTGTATGAGCTTTTACTCACGAGAAATTAGCAGTTGAAGTTGACACTGATTTTAAAACATAGTCAGATCAGCGTACAATATTCTCACCTCTACTATGTTTTATATACACGTTGTATGAAAGCTTCTGTCAAACTCTGTTATTGATCTACACTGAACGAAAACATCCGCAATACTTCGAATGATTATTGCATTGGTCGAGCCCTTTAGCAATATGCTTTCGAATTTTGGATGATTGCCTTATGGTTGAATTCGTCATCAGCTGACGAGCATCCGTATGACTGTCCTCTAAATAAAGGATGATAATTATTTGAAAATTGGCTGTACAACATACAGTGCTTAGAGGATATCAGTTTAATAATAGGATGCCTTGCAAATGCTTAAAATTGGGTTGATAGTTCGCTTGTTTATATTTCCATATTGAATAGCCAGGAACAGTCCATCATGGATTCAAAAATCTTTTGTTGGTAGAGGAAACTTCCTCCACCACGAAATAGAACATCTTCGGTTCCTACGCTTTACATAATCGTTTTGGAGGATTTGCGTTATGGGGCTGAATCAGTACAATATGCATTTCAATTTGGAATGACAATCATTCTACAGAGAGCATTACGTATTTCAACTGAGGTCCATTCGTTTCTCGTATCAATGTTCATCCTGTATTCGAGAGGAGCATCATCTGATTACAAAACAATCGTCGTCCGGTTGCAGCCATCATTCGAAAAAGCAATTTCGATGTTT